CAATTTGAAAAAAAAATGAGTTGCCTTAACTGGGGTTTGAACTCCAGACCTCTCGCTTCCTAAGCGAGCGCGCAAACCCCTCGGCCACGGTGAATATACATGTTAATGGCAAAACCATATTATTCTAAATTAGGGTTTGTAACGACGCTAACTGTTGTTTAACACAGATGTAAATAATCATGGAGCTTACTTTAAGCATGTATATCTATAAAGAATAAAACAATATTAGAAATCTTCGACCATTCGGGAATTATTTTGCTTGAAAATTAATGCGCCTGTCATTTGACCATCTGAACGCAGTAGTCTCCTCTGAATTTTTCGGCATTAGTGTACAAATAAAGGGAAGTAACCGCTTCAAACAAGCGGACTACTTTCGACAATTGCAATTAACAGCATTAGAGTCTGAAATTTTGCTACCATTACTTGTTTGGTCTGACGACAAAAACAAATAAAAATGTCAAATGGTCGATTTAATATAACTATGCTTATTTTTATCCCGAATATAAGACTTAACCCATAATCTGCTATATTTCTATAATGGATCTGTCTAGCCTTGAATTTGAAACAGTCCATTCAAAAATCATGGGATTTCAAAATCAAAATACAAAAATTGAGCTTCCAACAGTATAGAGCCTGGTCAGACTGCATGAATGTGCAGGCTGACCTGGCTCTATAGTGGTGGCAAAGGTTTATCATTTTTGGGTCCAGCAGGTTAAGGGTTAAAACTTAAGTTTTCAAAGTTGTATTTTATGTAGTGTTATGTCAAGTGGCGTCTGTCTTAATTCACTCAAAGCTGTGTTCTTACTTTGCCCTTATTAATCAAGATTAAACTTGCTTATTTAAAACGAATAGTACAATTTCATGTAATCGAACTATTAAAAACTGTCAAAATGAACGATATGGTTCTATTTATAAAAGAAATCACATGTAAAAACGTATTTCATACAAGTAAAAATAAAAGATTGTTACCTTCAAATCGTCGAATTCAATCTGAATCTTCAAATTTGCATCGATTATTCCTAAAATAGTAGATTTAACAAACAAGCCACAAACACGTAATTCAGTACTTATTTATTGCATACAATTCGGCTATATGCCTTCATCAAACATTATTTTAAATATATATAAAAATAGAATATACTCCCTTAATATACAAGCCGGACAACTGATACAATTGTACATATGCGAGTTATAATATAATGCCTCAATCATTTTTAACCACTACCAACACGACGCGAGGAAAAAGAATGGCTGACACACCGCATGGTTAAAAATTTGCCCAACCGGAACAGCCTAGTATGATTAAAACAAAATAGTTATTACCACGCCATGAGTTTTGGAAATATAAAACCAATACTTTGATGTTTAGTATTAAATAGAAAAAAGAGGAATCCCTAAAGAATAGTAAAATCGAATATGTTGCAGGCATGGTTTAAGTCATACCTTTTTATGTAGTTTATATAATATATTTCAAACTTTTGCCGTTACATTGAATCTTTATTTTAGATATTGTTTATTTTCTTAAGAATAATTTGCGAGTATATCAAGTGAATGCTCAGAGTAACGTAGAGGCAATCAGGCGAGTTAAGGCATCTGACAGATCTATAAGAGATGCAGGAAACTCAACAAAATGGAAGACAATAGTTTACTTGAAGTTTGATGTCAGAATGACCAAACAAAAGCCTTAAGAACAATTTGTCTCCGATGTAAGCTACGTGCAAGTAGGTAAATATCTCCACATAATACATGGAATTATCAAATTTCTAGTTTTTTTTATAACAGTTAATACACATTCTACTAATTCACTGTATATTATACGACAATATTTGTTCTTTGATAAGACTTAATTGATAAACTAAACATGCATCAGAGTAACAGAAACCAAGAGTCACAAATATATTTCTAAGAAAGTCTTACTTAATGCTTTCCCGCCAAAAAATCTATCATCTGTCGATATCGTAATAAATCGGTCATTTCCGGAACGTTATTTTTCACACTCTTCGGTATTCAATGTTTTTACAGTTTATATCCAGAATTTAGTACATAGCGATTTATAAAAGGATGAGTGATTGTAAATAATTTAATGCCCAATATTTCGAAAAAATAACGTTCCGGATATAACCGAATTGCTACGATATACGACGATGTTTTATTTGTTTGGCAGGAAACCATTACAGACTCCTTAATTGTAGAACTAAACCATGTGTTCCTCGGGCGATGCATTTAACAAGAAGAAATAAGTGGGGGTATATTGCTTTGCATTTTGTCTGTCGGTCGGTCGTAGACCAAGTGGTTTCCGATCAATAACTAAAGAACGCTTAGGCTTAGAAACTTAAAACTTGGTATGAGGATTCTTCATCCCTTATTGTTTTTTGGGTTAATATCACATTGACCTTGTAGGTAAAAGCGGTTTCCGATCAATGACATGACAACCCATGGGCCCTTGGCAGATGCATTTGTCTTTGCCAGGAGATAACCCTTATTGATTTTTGGGTCAGAGGGTCAAAGGTTAAGGTCACATTGACCTTGTATGTCAAAACGGTTTCCTATCAATAACTGGACAACCCATGAATCATTGACCTTCAAACTTCACAGATGCATTGTTTTTGGTCAGAAGATGAGTCATGACCTCAATGGATTTTTGGGGTCAAGAGATCAGAGATCAAGATCACATTGACCTTATAGGTAAAAACGCTTTCTGATGAATATCTCTCAACAACTCATGGGTCCCCTTACCTTCAAACTTCACAGGTGCATTGGTCTTGGCCAGTAGATAACTCTTATTGATTTAAGTGTCAAAGGTCAAAGTCGCATTAACCTTGTACGTAAAAACGGTTTCCGACCAAAAAAATCAAACAACTCAAATCGTCATAGTTGATATTTTCTATTAAACTAACAAGAGGGCCATAATGGCCCTGAAATCGCTCACCTGAATATAAAAACTCTCCATGAACAAGAATAATTTTGACAGGGCTTTTATTTGAACAAACTTGGTAAATACCAATAAGAAAATGTTTCATGCTAAATATGTAAGCTCTATCTCTTTGGGTATTTCAAAGATTTTACTTTATACATATAAGAAAAAAAAACAAAGACTCCCACATGTCCCAGTGGCGTGGCCAATTTTAACTCCAGGGCTTATATTTGAACAAACTTTGTAGACACTCACTAGAAGATGTTTTACGCTTAATATCTAAGGTCTAGCTCTTTGGTGTTTTTTTTTTACTATATAAAGAAATTTTTACTATATACATAAATTAATGACACTCAGGGATGGACCAATTTTGACCCCAGCACTTTTATGTTCTTAACAAACTTAATAGACACTCACAAAAGAAGTTTCATGTCAAATATCAAAGCTCAAGCTTTTGTGCTTTTCAAAGAAGATATTTTTTGTATTAACTATGTACATAAAAGAAAAACCAATGACTCCCGGGGCGGGGCTTATTTTGACCCAGTGCTTTTATTTAAACAAATTTGGTAGACATTCATTATAAGATCTTTAATGCAAATATCTAAGCTTTAGCTCTTTCGGTTTTTTAAAACAAGATTAAAAAAAAAAATTACTATATTTATGTATAAGGAAAAGCAATCAACCACAGGGCGAGGCCAATTTGATCTAATGGCTTTTATCTAGACACCCACTAAAAGATGTTTCCTGTTTAATATCTAAGCTCTAGCTCTTTGGGCTTCACAAGAGATTTTTTTAAATTTTTACTACACGTATATACATCTAAGAAAAATGGTTCCCAGGCGGGGCCAATTTTGACCCCAGGGCTTTATTTGAACAAACTTAGCAGACACTCACTAGAAATTGTGTCATGCCAAATATCTAAGCTCTAGCTCTCTTGAGTATTTTTTAAAAGAAGATTTTTTAGTATTTGTTTTGGTTGCCAGGGCAACCGGAGTTCTGAATGGAATTAAATTCTTAGAACAATTTTCAAAGGTAACCACCAGAGGAACATTCCGATGAAGTTTGGATGAAATTGGATTAATGTTTTTTTAGGAGATGTCGTTTATAGTAAATGTTAACGGACAACGGTTGTGCTCAAAGTTTGGTACTTAGTTTGTTCTTTCTATTGTTTTTAGTCATGCAAGAGAAAAAGTAGCCACATAAGAGCTTACTGAACATTGCTGAATGAATAGCATTGTTACCTATTGATCCCATTGCCACCTAAGTATCAATATTTTGTACGAACGGACGCAAGACGAAAAGCGCTCGCAAAAGCTCACCCTGTCACTTTGTGACAAACAAGTAAAAAATGCTTTTGGTATACACATTATAGATGGGAAGCATATATGTTTTACAAATATATCTTGTTGTTCAAATGGCGGGGAAGTTAGAATTGCTGACTGGTCGACTTTATCCGTCAATCTTCCAATAAACTCTGATTAACAATAATTGGCGAGGCGGAACAGCACATTTCTGTGCACGGTTCACTCGCTTGGTGATGATGCAAAGTTTACTGTACATGGAATAGTAAAAAAAGTCATTAATTTAAAGGATTAAATGGAATGAACCACTGTTCTAAGTATTAAATGTAACGTAAATGATATATTTTTACCGCTTTGTTCACCTAGATGATTTGTCGTTTAAGTATTTTGAAGCGAAGCATACGCATAACTATTTTGTAGACTGTTTCTTATGATTTTAGGCTTTTAATGCAATTCATTAGCTTCATATTTGATAGCAAAAATGGATGCCTCCAGCAATCATTCTCAACACTGTGGATAATATTCATAACCGTTTTACCCCGGTCTCATGTAACAAATTGGAATGTTTCCCTTTTAAACTGTGAAGTACTTGTAGTCATTATTGTCTTGTAAGAAGAAAGTTAAATTTTCTAAAAAATGCATAAGGTGGGTAATATAATACATGTTATCCGAACTCGGCAAATGTGATTTTTTTTTACATCTAACCTAAACGGTTGTGCCCAGGGTCTTTCAAATAGAATTTGAAAGACCCTGCTCATAATAACAAGGTAGAAAACGACACAGAATCAGCTTTTCAAGTTTAATGTTACATGATATTGAGGATACCACTGACATGGAACATAGCATAGCTCATAATCAAATAATACATTATCAACGCTTTGAAGTCACAGTATGACCTTTACAGTGTTGATATGCCATTAAACCAAACAAGGCAAATCAAAGAAACGAACTTATTGGAGGAGAACTATTCCAAAGTATAGTTGAAAGCTGTTGATGTAGAACAATAGCTATCTGTAAGACAGCCCGCTTCACTATTCTCAGTGCTTAACAGTAAAAAAATATGGCATAACTCATGTCATAATGTCATAAAGGTAACTCAGGTGTTATTGGGCCATTGCCCATCATATTACATTCTCACAGAGAACAAGTGTGTTTTCATCCCATGCCTCAGAAGTTTTGGAGCTTACACAAAAATACAACCCAAGTGTGATGATGATGATCCCTGGTTGAGTACAATAGCTCGCTCTTTTCATTGAATTGACAAAGTTATAAACAAATTTTGCTCACTTGGTTAAAGAGTAAAGAGATTTTTTACAGTTATGAGTTCTGATTGAAAAGAACAGCATTTCATTTCAAGAGGTTTATTCTGAATTGTATGAAATTATAATCAAACTTTTTAAGATAAACACAGTTCAAAACCATGTAATATCAAACTTGATTTATTTCAGAAGTATGGAAGGTAATAAAACATAATGTTTAATAATTACCAATAAAAAGTAGTGTTAAAGAGCCACAGCTATTTTAACAGAAATGTTAACAACTCTTGATCAAACAGATCCTTACTATATAAAATTTCTTAAAAGTTTGCACACTAATAAGCATAAATGTTAGACACAAGACTAAAGGAGGTGAAAGTTGCCAGTATAATTTGATATTCAGTAAAAAAAAAGAATACAAAGACAACAAAATATCGTATTTTCAGTACAAAATATTCTTCCTTTTCCAAACCTTTTACATAATAAGATTTCAAAAACAAGATATTTCAGTAGATTTCAACACAGCTAATTTTATCCTAATTATATTCATATCTTTCGTATTTGTTTGAAAATGTCACTCGATAAAAAAAAAATCATATAGAGAATGAACAGCCATTTTAAATCAAAGATTGATTATATCCATTGCACATTTACAGTGTTTATTAGCAGGCTGTTATATTAACTTAGTGAAGACAATTCTTTTCTTATTTCTTCCACTAAGTCATCTCTTGATACTTTCCTCTGAAAAAAACAAAAAATATATAATATTCAGTTTCAAAATTAATGACTAATGGATAAATGTGACATGTTATCGTTTTTGCTAGATTTGCTTCAAGATATAACCAATGTTCTTATCATATGCTGCTGGGACTTTTAAGTTTTGTCCAGAGATATATGTATCATATTTTTGTTGACTTCTATAATACTGTGAACTCACTTAATTTAGTGGGAATGAATTTTTGTGGTTTTATCACAAAGAACATTTTTACAGGTTCTTAAATTTGTGAATTGTTTATTTTTTTAAAGATAAAATGTAAATAATGTGATACAAAACAATCTTACAGCAGATGAAATGAAATTCTTTGGATCTTAAATTGGTAGATTTGCCTATCCACGTTAACCGAGAAAATTAGTTCCCCATGAATAACAATAATTTTGCAGTACCAAAGACACTCATTTAGAATCATATAGCTGCTTTTCAGCTGCACAGATTGAGGCAGGTACTATGGTGCCCCCTTAAAATTATTTCACAAAGCGATGACCCTGGTAGAATAACCAGCAAAGCTGTGAGCTAACAAATATCTTAATCACATAGAAATCCACATACATTGCATGATGCTCTATCCCTAGGACATGTGGCTGTCATGTCTAATGATGGCTTAAGACATCACAAAGACATTAAAGTACAAAATTCTGTACAAAAGTTTAAATTGTGAAAAAAGATAGTTGATTGCAAATTCTTAAAATTCCCTTTAATATATCTTTACTTTAAGCCATTTCAAATTACATGTAGCTCCAAATTCAAGGTCTATTATACAAAAGATTAAGAATTCATTTTTTGCAAGCTAATAATATATTACTGTATATTTTTTATGCCTCTTGTGACTGAGGGGTTGTCTTTAGTGGTTGAAGCATAAGAATTGCAGCCATCGTTTATTCCTTCATGATCATAAAAGGCCCCTAAGTGGGTTCGAATAATCTCTTAGCTCCAGCAGGCAAGGTTAGCCAAAATAATTTTTCCGGTTTTGGTGCTATTTGAAATCTATACTGTGTTGGTGTGCCGTAAAACCAAATAAACAAATATTTTTCCTATACAGAATAATACATACATATCTAATAATAATTGTCAATTAATTTATTCTGAAATACACATCAGTTATAAGCATGAAAGACAAGAAATATCGAACAACACATATGCCCCTCTTTCCAGCCGTTGACTCACAAAATTGGTAATATTGTTATAAAAACTTGCCATAAATGGGTACATGGAAGTGTTCAATTTTGGAAAAAAGAAAATTAATGAAAACTTTGTAATATATAGTAACCAAGATAATGAGACATTTTAGGTCCCTGTGACCTTGACCTTTGAACTAGTGACCCAAATCCATTAGGGGTCACCTAATTGTTATGATCAATCAATATAAGAAATATGAGAACTTTGTTTTAAATACCTTTGAAGATAATGAGCAGAAACCATACTATTCAAAAACCCTGTGACCTTGACCTTTGACCTAGTGACTCAAAAATCAATAGTGGTCACTATATGACTGAAATACTGTTGGGCAAAGGCGTAAAATGAAACAAACAAACAAACAAACTTACTAGATATGACCAATCAGTATGTGAAATATTAAGATTTTGTGATAAATAGATTTCAAGATAATAAGAGCAAAAACCATTCTGACATTTAAGGCCCCTGTAACCTTGACCTTTGACCTAGTAACCCCAAAATCAATAGCAAGCATCTACTAGTTACGACCAATCAAAATGTGAAATATTAAGACTATGTGATGAATACTTTTCAAGATAATCAGCAGAAACCATTTTGACATTTAAGGCCCTTGTGACCTTGAACTTTGACTAAGTGACCCTAAAATTAATAGGGGTCATCTTCTAGTTATGATCAATCACTTAGTGAAATATGAAGACACTGTGATAAATAGTGTTCAAGATAATCAGGGGAAACCATGTGGTCTACCTACAGATAGACCGACAGACAGACCGACATTAGCAAAACAACATACCCCCTTTTCTTCCAAGGGAGGCATAAAAATATATCTTACATCTGTAGTTTGCATGAAAGAAAATATATCTTAACAATTTGGCAACTTAATTTTTAGTACATTACTATGGTAACTGATTATATTTACCTCTGCTCTTGTTACTGTATTTTTCATGGTAACACAATTACTTTCTATCTCTGACTGACCTAATATGATGGCTATTGGTATTCCATTAGTTTCACAGTACTGAAACTGGTCCAGTGCTTTAGGATTCTTCTTGTAAGACTGCTCTGTCTGTAAAATATCAATATTGCCAAACAGTTAACAGTGCTACAAATTCCAAATGTCAAACTTAAGTTAAAGGGGGGTAACTGCTGTACAAACTGAAACACTGTCAAGTACATAAATTGTCTAGTGCACTAGATGTGAACTTCAAAGAGCACTTGAGGTGCTCATTGAACTGCACACCAAGTGCACTATGTGTAACTGTTTTGTGTGAATTCAACTGTAGCTACAATAAAGTGCTTGCCTTCATACTTGACAATATAGAGTCAGGTTAGTCTGCACTTCAATACAGTGAGACTGTTTACTATAGAGTAGGATACTCAGTTTTAGTACTTTGATGATAAAAACTCTTTCACATCAGCTTTAAATTCAAGGTCTATAATACAAACATACAACACAATACAAATTAAGCAATAACAACGCAAACAAAAGTTTAATATTCACTTATAATTTTTGAGTTTGAACACACAAGCAACATAATCTTGTGTTATTTCTTACAAATTCTACACAATTCTTTTATATCAACACATTTTAGGCTTTACCTTGATATTGAAATCCATGTTCTCTTAAAAAAAGTTCATTTCAGATAGCCATAACTTCTTCTGACAAAAAAATTAACCATGATATTTTACCTGTATATCAACATCTGTGCTCTTTAACAAAGACTTCAGTTATCCCCAATCATTAAGGTATGAAATATACCCCACTCCCTTACCTTGATATCAGACACCCCACTCCTTTACTTAATATCGTCTTCCCTACTTTCTTACCTTGATATCAGACTAATATTAATATTAATATCAACGCTCACCTAGACATCTTTCCCACTTCCTTACCTTGTTATCATACACCCCACTCCCTTACCATGATATCATCTTCCCCACTTCCTTACCTTGATATCATACACCCCATTGCTTTACCATGATATGATCTTCCCCACTTCTTTATCAGTTATCTTGATATCAGACACCCCACTAATATTGATATCAGTATCCATGCTCACCTAGCTATCATTATACCCCATTTCTTTACCTTGATATCATCTTCCCGACTCCCTAACCTTGATTTCATCTTCCCCACTCCCTAACCTTGATATCATCTTTCCCACTTCCTTACCTTGATATCAGCATCCCAGAGTTCCTGGCAGAGTTTCAGTCTGTGTTCAACAAGGTGTTTCTGAGCAGAGACAACATAGACCTCTGTTTCTGTTGTACGGACCTTTGTATTATTTGCCTGTAATATACAAGACAATATTACACTATACATATTCTATCATACACAATCATTGTTCCTAGTTTGCCACAAAGACCAGTTCAATTATTAAGCATTTAATGTTTGTTACTCTGTGAATAAATAAAAATTGTCTCCAACTCATATCTTATATAATTGTAAGACTTCTTTTAAACAAGCAGGGAAAATAGTAGACAATTCATTTTATTCGAAGGTCACCTAAAAACAACTTTCTGTGATGAACAAGAATGTTTAAAATATTAACAATCTCCATGACAGATAAATACATGTAGTTCAAAATTACCTTTTAAACTAACCATATGCTTTATATTTTGTTTGGATTTAAGGAGCACCATCACAATTTAGATCATATGGTGCCGAAACAGGAAAGATGATTTTGGCTAACTTTGGATGTTAAAACTTAAGCACCTGGGGTCAAAACCACCTCACCTTCTGGGCCTAAAAGATGCATAGACTCCAGTAATTCAAGCCCATTAAATCAATTCTTAAAATGACGCAGGGATAAATATTGACTGTAATTCTGATGCCTCAACCTATAAAGATGACACCTCAACCACAAGGGGATTTATATTTTGTAACTACCAAATTTCACAATCTTATCTATTAACTTTAACACAGTGTTCAGAATCTGGAAAAGGGTATTCCCTCTAAAGTAATGAAAGAACAAGATTATTTGAAATTTCACTTGGTTCATAAATTCTTATAAAGTTGACAATTTTTCAATTAAATGATAAAATCATACCAAAGCTCTTTGTTCCATGATGGCAAATATCCTTTCAATTCCTATACTAACACCAACACATGGTACTTTCTTCCCTCTGGCATCAAACATGCCTACCAGACCATCGTATCTCCCTCCTCCAGCCACACTGCCTACACTGACACACTCTTCTTCCTTACCTTTTGATGCTTCCGGTTTGTGAGCATAACCTAGGAAATATATAAAAACCCTGTATTTGATAATAAGAATAAAGAGACCACATGATGAAAACCTGAAACAATTACACTGAAATTTACATAAAAAATGCATATTGTCACCTTAGTGCAATAATATAATATTTTTTTCTAAATTTAATAGCAGTTAATCAGTTATTGTACTAAGGGGCCGTATAAGTGTGAATCTTAAGTATTATCTTTATAAAAGGTACCGTAATATCATTTGTGCAAGCTAAGGTTTTTTTTAGAATTCTGGTATTTAACAAATTGAATATCTTATGACTTGCTTAGCACATAGCCAGTGATTTTTCTTACTTTATTGGCACAGATACTTGGGGTTTGGAGCTCAAAACGCCTTTAAAATCCAAATAAAATGCATATTTGTCAATCCCAGCACATGTACTGATCATATATATCAAAAAAACTTAATATAAGCCGTTTTGAAAAAAAATCATATTTCAACATCTATAATAATACACAAGATAAAAATGTTCGCCGGAAAAAATCCGCACCCCTACCGTCATAATCACCATGTATTTTATTCCATTTCCAATATTTTCACATAATCCTTTGGTCCATCGACACAGAAGATATAATTCTTCACGATGATGGTCAATTTTAAACTTCAACGGTAATATAAACAACGCAACAGCCGAAATAAACATCAATATTATCGCCTTTTTTTTTCAACGACAAAATCTTTCGATAAATTCAATGGACCAGACGGCTATGAACGAAGCTATCCGATTATGTGGTTCCCAAACTTAAAAGCGCTGCGCATTTTGCACACGGCAAAGCTGGGGCCACATAATCGGATAGCTTCGTTCATAGCCGTCTGGTCCATTGAATTTATCGAAAGATTTTGTCGTTGAAAAAAAAAGGCGATAATATTGATGTTTATTTCGGCTGTTGCGTTGTTTATATTACCGTTGAAGTTTAAAATTGACCATCATCGTGAAGAATTATATCTTCTGTGTCGATGGACCAAAGGATTATGTGAAAATATTGGAAATGGAATAAAATACATGGTGATTATGACGGTAGGGGTGCGGATTTTTTCCGGCGAACATTTTTATCTTGTGTATTATTATAGATGTTGAAATATGATTTTTTTTCAAAACGGCTTATATTAAGTTTTTTTGATATATATGATCAGTACATGTGCTGGGATTGACAAATATGCATTTTATTTGGATTTTAAAGGCGTTTTGAGCTCCAAACCCCAAGTATCTGTGTTTATTGGAAGAGGCCTTAGCCTCTTGATTTTGGGAATTATCGCTAAAATTGCTGATTTGGGAAGTAAAAAGGCTAGTTTAAGTTCAGATTTTTGGGAAAACTTCATTATTTTAAAGAAAATTAAAGAGGCCTTTTCTCGGAGTCTGTTATATAAGTAGGAAAATCACTGATAGCATATCTTCATCATACCACAACATAGGAAAGAGAGAAAATATCAGAGACAATGACTTGCAAATGCCACTAATGTTATGACATTGGTAGAATGTCATTATACTGATAATGAGCATAATAGACTCAATGTCATCAATATCACGGCATCATTAATCTCGCGATATTTACATAGCGCCACCTAGCCAGTATTTACATCTGTCAAAGTTGACCTTTTTCCTGTTTTTGCATTAAAAAAAAGATATTAGCAGCTGTCATGAGTGGAATCTTGGTAAGTAACCCAATAATTAACTTAATAATATCTAATAAATATCAAAGATCACAAAAATATGTCCTTTTTTGTCTGAAAATACAGTTTTATAAACATCGTCTGTCACATTTAAGGGCTGTATGCCACTAAATATTATATACAGACAGCGTTTCCAGGTATGCAACATCTAATATTATTCCATCTTTAAAATTTGAAATATTTTATAGGAATACATCAACTAAATTTTTCCCATCCTTTTACATCATAAAGTTAATGCTCCTGCAATAACTATTTTTCACACTTTCATATTCTTTATTCAGAAACTCAAAACTGGTAGACGGAAGACCTACGATAGATTTAGTTTAATCATATTTTATTGCTTTTACATTTTATACAAAAACAGATACATTGTCACATGTAAACATACTACAAAACAGTAACAAGACATTTACAGTTAATACATGGATGTTATAGATATTATAAACAAGAGGGCCATGATGGCCCTGAGGTCGCTCACCTGTATATAGGCCCCCCCCCACCCCCGGGCCAATTTTTACCCAAGGGCTTTTATTTGTTTATTTGAACAGACTTGGTAGACACCCATAAGAAGATGTTTCATGCTAAACATCTAAGTTCTAGCTCATTGGGTTTTTTAAAAGAAGATTTTTAAAGTTTTTACTATACACATATAGTTAAAAACAATGACACCCCTGGGGCAGGGCTAGTTTTGATCCCCAGGCTTTTATTTGAACAAACTTTGTAGATATTTACTTAAAGATGTTTCATGCTTAATATCTAAACTCTAGCTATTTGGGTTTTTTCAAAGAAGATTTTTAAGTTTTTGCTATACACATATAAGGAAAATCAATGACCCCCCGGGCGGGGCCAGTTTTGACCCCAGGGCTGTTATTTGAACATACTTGGTAGACACCCATTAGAACATGTTTCATGCTAAATATCTTAGCTCTAGCTCTTTGAGTTCTTTAAAAGAAGATTTTTTAAGTTTTTACTATATACATATAGGGAAAATCAATGACCCCCTGGGGCGGGGCCAATTTTGACCCCAGGGCTTTTATTTGAACAAACTTGGTAGACACCCATTAGAAGATGTTTCATGCTAAATATCTTAGCCTTAGCTCTTTGGGTTCTTTAAAAGAAAATTTTCAAGTTTTTACTATATGCATATAGGGAAAATCTATGACCCCCTGGGGCGGGTCAATTTTGACCCCAGGGCTTTTATTTGAACAAACTTGGTAGACATTCACTAGAAGATGTTTCATGCCAAATATCTAAGCTCTAGCTCTTATGGTTCTTTAAAAGAAGATTTTTTAAGTTTTTACTATATGCATATAGGGAAAATCAATGACCCTCCGGGGCGGGGCCAATTTTGACCCGAGGGCTTTAATTTGAACAAACGTGGTAGACACTCACTAGAAGATGTTTCATGCTTAATATCTTAGCTCTAGCTCTTTGGGTTCTTTAAAATAAGATTTTTTAATCTTTTACTATATGCATATAGGGAAAATCAATGACCCCCTGGGGCGGGGCCAATTTTGACCCAAGGGCTTTTATTTGAACAAACTTTGTAGATATTCACTAGAAGATGTTTCATGCCAAATATCTAAGTTCTAGCTCTTAAGGTTCTTTAAAAGAAGATTTTTTAAGGTTTTACTATATGCATATAGGGAAAATCAATGACCCCCCGGGGCGGGGCCAATTTTGACCCCAGGGCTTTTATTTGAACAAACTTGGTAGACATTCACTAGAAGATGTTTCATGACAAATATCTAAGCTCTAGCTCTTAGGGTTCTTTAAAAGAAGATTTTTTAAGTTTTTACTATATGCATATAGGGAAAATCAATGACCCCCCGGGGCGGGGCCAATTTTGACCCCAGGGCTTTTATTTGAACAAACTTGGTAGACACTCACTAGAAGATGTTTCATGCCAAATATCTTAGCTCTAGCTCTTTGGGTTCTTTAAAAGAAGATTTTTTAAGTTTTTACTATATGCATATAGGGAAAATCAATGACCCCCTGGGGCGGGGCCAATTTTGACCCCAGGGCTTTTATTTGAACAAACTTGGTAGACACCCACTAGAAGATGTTTCATGCCAAATATCTAAGCTCTAGCTCTTTGGTTTGTTTAAAAGAAGATATTTAAAGATTTTTCTTTCGGTTGCCATGGCAACCAGAGTTCTGCATGGAATTAAATTCTTTGAACAATTTTTAAACGTGACCACCAAAGGAACATTCCTGTGAAGTTTGGATGAAATTGGCTCAGTGGTTAATGAGGAGATGTCATTTAAAGCAAAAGTTTACGGACGGACGACGGACGGACGACGGACGGACGACGGACGGACGCCGGACGAAAAGCGATCACAAAAGCTCACCCTGTCACTTTGTGACAGGTGAGCTAAAAAGCAAAAGGGTCGGGCCACAAGTTTTGACAACATTAGAGAATTGGCCCTTCCCACAACGTCTAACTTGTAGTAAAAAGATGTGCATAAATTCAATTGTAATTGGAATTCCATAAATGTATATATCAGCAATCAATATGATATTATTTGAGAAAATAGAATTTGATTATAAAAATTGATCAAAGACTAACAAAACTTGAATTAAAAAGTAATAAAGAAAAGGAAAAGAGAAAGGAAGAAAGAAAGAAAGAAAGATTTATTGATTGAATAAATGAAAGAATAAGCACCATGTAGGAGATTGCTGCCCAGTTCCTGTCCTCAGCATTTATATATAAGTTATGGACAACAATTTACAAGCGTAGTTGGAAAATTAGTCATTTTCAAATCTCCTTGAATACTTGATGAAATTTTGAACGTGAAGGAATAACATAATATTGTCTTCATCGCTAAGATGAGTGATACCAAAAAGCAATTTATGGGCACTAAGAGGGTGATAATCACGAGTATTGGTAAATAATGTTAGCCTTTGGTTTTTATACAATGGACATTTGAAAAAGTAATGGTCTGCGTCTTCAGAATAAAAACCGCATTCACAATTTGAATTGTCACGTAAGTGATTGTAGTGCAAATCAGCATTTAAATTGCTACACTTATTTCTTATACGTGTGTGGTGAATTTGTAAAAATCTGTCACCAGTAAGGAAATATATCGGAACTAGAGGCGGCGTAAAGATTTTTTTAATTTTGGTTTTGAACCTACCATAGAGAAAATTTGAAAAGAGCATATGAGGCTACACTCTCTTTCATGTCCGTATATAGAGCCTGAAGGGTATTTCAAGTGCCAGATTCTACCCATAGAGATAGAACAAGGCAAAATGTTTCTGTGGATTGTTTGACTGGAGCCAGCGTCTTTTCACTGAGGAAGAGGAGGAAAAGTTTGTTGACCATGTTGTTTACATGTCAACAATAAGTTATGGGTACTGTATAACTGACCTACAGGTTATTGCTGCAGGTTATGCCATGTCATTAGGGAAGAACTTCGGGTCAAAAGCAGGATAGAGTCAGGGATTAGTTTACTCATTAATTGAAAGATGGGATGATCTAAAGGTTGTTAAACCACAAAAACTGTCTTTGAAAAGAGCAAAGTTTGCATCTGAAGAAACTTTACATACATATTTCAGTGAGCTTAAGAGTGTTTTGATTGAGAATGATTTTATGAATTCTCCACAAAGAATATATAATATTGATGAATCTGGATTCTCAACGGAACATAAACCACCAAAGATTGTATGTGGTTCAAATATCAAACCTCAATCTGTTGTATCTGAGAGGTCAAAGACAGTAACAGTCATAGGTTCAGCAAATGCAATAGGAAATCACCTACCACCCTTTTACATTTTCCCAGGTGAACATTGGTGTGAAAGTCTGTTAAATGGTGCTGCTCCAGGTTCAGATGGGGCTATGGCTGAGAGTGGTTTTATTAATAGGTATTTGTTTGAGGATTACATGTCAGGTCATTTTGCCAAGCGTACTGGACTATCTAAAGGACCAGACAACCCTAAAACTCTAGTACTCTATGATGGACACAAATCTCAAATGTTCCTCACTCCTGTTAATTGGGCTACAGAACACAATGTGATACTCTTTGTCCTCCCACCACAAACTTTGCATATTACTCAACCTTTAGTTGTAGGAATTTTCGGCCCTATGAAAACTTACTACTATAAATAATGTAAATCATACATGCATTTTAATCCTTGTGTTTACGTCACTCGTTATGAAGTGGCAAAGTTAACAGCAAAACCCTATGCAAAGGCATTTTCACCAGAAAACATCTTTAGTGCTTTTGAAAAAGCTGGCATTTTTCCATTCTGTGCTGATATTATCCAGTCTGAAACTGCCCCAGCCACCATTTACCCGCAGGAGATAGAGAACATTGACACTCAAAATAATGAATCTGTAACTGTGGTGATGAAGTTGAAAAAGGTGACCAATTTTTAATGAATAAAAAGATCACTTGTGTTATTAAACAAAGACCAAAAAAGAAATTCAAACCACCCGTAAAAGTCCAGGGTAATTTGCTATCAGGCAAAGATATGGAAACTTTGCAAGACCTCTACACCAAGAAAAATGACAAACTGAAAAACATCTTCATATGTGAAAGGAAAATCTTGTCATGGTAACTCACCAAAACCATCCACATCTGGCATTACAAAGTCAGGCCGATCAATTAAACCAAATAATGCATCCTCAAATGATGAGTCAGATGACAATGATGACGTTTGTTGTGTATGTAGTTCTAAACTTCCCCCACAGCTTAGAGACTTTCCAGGTCTCATTAAATTTAAATTTGGGTCAATGTGATCAATGTGGGCATTGGGTCCATTTAACCCACTGTACTGATGTCAAAGGGTTAAGAAGGGCTAGTACATTCTATTGTGTTCACTGTCCTGAAGAGTAACTTTTTAACTGACCATTGACTGTGAAACATCAGAAATGTGTTATTGATGTTGTGTAAATTGGTGTTTGTGAATTAATTTTTAGAAATAATCTCAAGGGCATAGTTTTTATAATTTAGTACTCTTTGACCTATAATAAATTATTAATATTCAACCTGTAAACCAGTCTACTGCGATTTAACTGATGACGTCAGTATACAAACATTGCTGACACATGGTTATTTTCTGTTGTATTAAATGTGTTATCACATGAATGTTTTGTTGTTTCTTTGTGCAATGTAGCAGAAAATAGATAACAGTTACCGCTGATAACAATTATATATATGGTAAGTTGATTGTTTGTTTTCCTTATTATTTCAAAGCATTAAGAACCGCTTACTTAAAGGAGAACAGTATGATATGCAACAACTTAACTTAGTGAATTAACACATGGGAATGTTTCCCATATATAAGGACACAAACAACTCCTGGCGGTGAGCTTGCTTTTCACCCACAGGGTTTGTGTGCCTTTGGTGGCAGGTATGGGGGATTTAGTCAACTGGTGGACTATAGTTGCCCTACCCAATGATTTCCCAGGCCAAGTCTTTGGACAAGACTTCTTGAAGGGGAAAGTAATGTAACAACGAAAGTAGAATGTCATAATACTGATAATGAAAAAATTGGTGAATTAACATAAGGAAATGTTTCCAATATCTGACACAAACCACTCTTGGTGGTGAGCTAGCTTTTCACCAACAGGGTTTGTGTGCCTTAAAACATTACAGTATATAGCAAGGTTAGCCTGCATATCTTCACTCTATACTTTAGTTGCCTAAATGTAGCTATTTCATATTCAAATACCCCATATTAACAAAATTCAGTTCAAATTCAAGTCACACTATTTCATTCAACCCATTAAACATAAGAATTAGGTTGCAAATCCTTTTATTCTCAATTGCTCAGTATATATTATTAATATACTTAAACCTGAAGATGAACATTTTCTTAATTCAATGAAGAGCTAGTCATTAATATTAAAAAATAAATGAAGAAAGTGATAAAAACTACCTTGTAGACAGGCCTCATAGATGACACCTGTATAATAATCCAGTCCTCTTGCCAAACTCAAATCAAACACCACCTACAAAAATAGTCACCGATTTATCAACCTTTAAAATAACATGCACAACAGTCCTAAAGGCAAGATTACTACAGTACTTTTATTTTTCTGGGCTTTGTTTTAAAGTCACATGGATATAGGGTCACATGCCAATTTGTAACCTAGTCCAGAAAAATATTTTTGTTATTTCATGGGTATTTGTGGAACGTCAAAACTGTTGCCAGAGGTATCAGGGATGGCATTTGCCAGAAGCTGAAGGCCAAGGTCAACAGTTTCAAATGTCATCTCTGATACCGAGTGACAACAGTTTTGACTGTTCCACAAATACCCATGAAATAACTGTTTTATTACCTAATGCTTTGCAATCAAACTATAATGTATATTGCATAATAAGTAATAACATTTTTACAACTGTTTTAAATGTAAAATGTTCACTACTTAATCCTGCAGAGGTCTGATTTTCTTAAAACTACTACCGTACAGAGCTGAGCGACATTTAAGCAGACAGTGTTTACGTAAATACCCGATGACAGGGGTGAAACAGTTGAAAATTTTCAACAGTCAACAGTTCATTGCATAACTGCACATGCACAGAATTTAAGTAGTTCAATTAAACAGTTGTAAATAAGGAATTAGTATTCATAGAATGCATTAGGTAATAACAGGTATTAAAACAGACACTAACTCCCAGTATAGTAATGAACTTTTATAACCTATCTTGATATCCAAAAAATTGATAACAGACAGTTTAAAATATGGAAACTGGTCAAGTCTATTTCAGAAATTCTGCAGTAAAAGGTTAAAAACATAAATTTTGAAACAAACTAATTCTAATTGATTATCTGATAATTCATTTATCAAAACTCATATTATCACAGAAAAATTAGCATGTATATAATTAACTTGTTTTCAAATTCAGACATGAATATATGAATATGTTGAACAATTAAAATACATGTATAGGTAAACACTACTTATTAATTGAACAGATATTTGGACTATATCTCTGCAATATTACCTTGTCTGTCACTTTGTATAGATCACAGTAGGTAAGGAGAACTTTTAACTCTTCCAAGCCCTCCACAGCATCTTTTTGTTTAGCCAGACTCTCATCTTTCATCAGCTGTTCTATAGTATCTATACCACCTGATTAATAAAAAGGAGGCAACTTTTCCATAAACATTATCTATGTAACCTGATTAATATAAAGGATGCAACTCTCCTATAAACATCATCTACTATGTATGTTACATGATTAATATAAGAGAGGCAACTCTCTTATATTATGTTACCAGAGCTATGTAAGGGAAGCATCTCTTCACATTTTTCCTCATAGTATTTTAATGTGTCTATAGAATTGCATTTATGTTTATAGAAATTGCTTTGAACAATAAAACTAAGTTTAATCTTTAAACAATTGAAGCATATAACATTGTCTTTAAAACAATTGAAGCATATAACATTATAAGTAACACATAATATTATAACACCAAATGTCGATCCCAAAGCTGCTTTGATAAAACCACAGTCATGGCTTTATTACTTTAATATGAAGAAATGCTGATAGTTATTCTTTGCATTCATACACTTTAAGCATTTTGTTCTTTTCAAACATTTATATTTTGAAAATGTCTGCAAGAGTTTTTGGCCAGAATTCACTTCCCCTGTAGATTATTATGAACCTTTGTATAACTTTTCTTAAGTTTGACAAAGGGTTATGCTTACAACAAGAACATCGCAAGTGGTGTCAATGCTGAGCTGTTAAGATAACCACTTTTGACGAAAAATACAGCTTTCACAATTATGCCCCTTGTCTTCTAACTTTCTCTTGCCATGATAAGCAAGTATTCCAAGTTTAATTTTGACACCTTTGAATACTGGCCTACATTACAGTTTTTGCCTGACCAGTTACTATTTTTTCGAAGCAGACAAGCTAAAAATAGTTTAAAAATCATACCACTGAATTTAACAAAGTGCCCTATTTTATCAGCCGCTTCAGGACTCAAGCCTTTCTCATCGACCATCTCTGCTCTTACATCATCCCAAAATGTCTGAAATTTACGTGGAAATAAAACAACGTATATTCAAATCAATTAAAATGTTCACTTTAAGAAGGGCCATCATTGGAAATTGCTATATAGATGCCCTGTTGATTGTCAACAATCATTTCAACATTGGTTTGAAATATTAATATTGATTCACTTAAAAGTGTTACAATGAAGCAATAAAGAAATAAATTGTTTTATCCTAAATAACATCCTAGCATTTTTTTCTCTCTTCAAGAGCCTGAAATATATTCATTTTTGCCAGTACTAAAGTTATTAAACCCTTTCCCTGCCATGGTCACATGATGGAATTTGCAGCACAAACTGCAATGCTGGCAAAAATGCCACTTACACATGTTCTAGAATATGAATCTAATTCTAATTTCTAATTTTTAGTATTAGTACTTATTCATCTGACTCTATTAGTACTTATTCATCTTACTGTATTAGTACTTATTCATCTAAAAATTTCAATTTAAGAGCACATAAAAAATAAACAACACATTCTAAATTTCATAAAGGCACAAAATTTAATATCAAATGGCCTGGACACAAACTGACTACGAGTTATACTACATTAAAATATGTCGGTGACAGATTTAAACGTGAACAAAATTTTTATGGTAAAATAGTATACCCACTTTATCAAGTTTATCAACAGCTGAACATATAGTTCTGAATTTATCATCAGGTACCCCACATGCTGCAAACATTCCGTCCAACAACTTGCGGTGATTGATCTGTAAATATTTACACAATGCAATATTAAAACATAATAATTCTTATTATATTATCTTATTTTCAATCAATTTTTGGTCATAGTTAAGACAACTATTAACATTATGTACAGATCATATAAAGACTTTCAGCTTATAGAGGACCCAAGGCGATTTTTAAAATATTTGCTACAACTAATGAACTATAGATCTAATCAAGTTTGCAGAGTTAAAAGTTTTGTTCATCATATGAAAACAATTTTTAAAATAAACCTTACAGCATTAATGGGCAAAATTTTATTTTAGTAGGTATCCCTGATAATGTAGTCATGATTTTCTTATACATTAAATATTTAACAATTTCTTATGATAATATAACTAAAAATAAACATTAATTTGACATGAGACTGGATGGTATAACTGAAAGCAAATCATTTCATGAATGTTTTAAATCTGACTCATAACATTAATAAAAACATGCAACCTAGGTATAAGGGATTCAATGATGAAGACAACTCTGCAATTATACATATTTTACTGAAATATCTAAACTATACCCTAATTTTGAAGTCCCCTATATCAAGTTGTGTAAGAATTTCTGCTACAATCTTTACACACTCGGCATCTGGTAACATTACGTCATATTGCCCTGCTATATCAAAATCCTGAAACAAATAGACTCTGTCAATTACCATCTATACTGAATCAACTATTCATTGCTAGAAATGACTTTGTTCTGAATTCTTAAAGAAATCAATTAAGTATTCAATCCTAAACATCAATTAACTCATTAATCCTAGAAATTCATTCACTCTTCAAACCTAGAAATCATTTTTTTTACTCCACTATCCACCAATAAATTCTTCTATCCTAAAAATCAATTAACTCTCCTGTCTGAGACACTAAATTTACATTCATCATTTTTATAAGAATGTGATAAAAACTCATTTCACAAATTTCATTAATATTTTCAAATATTAATGTAAATTTTTATTTATAAAGTCAATTATATTCATTATAACATTGTTATAGCTTCTTAAATTGCCCCCCCCCCCGCCCATAATTTTCATAAACATGTTATTTTATCTATGAAATTATAAGTATTAAACATTTAAGCTACAATGTACTTACAAAAATCTATGAAAGATGAATATGAACTATCATTCATGTGTGACTCAAAAGTAGGAAAATTTATACAAGTATTTAACAAAAATAATAGTAACAGCACAAAAGTCATCTTCCGATATAATATAAATGATAATTTTAGCCATTTAAACATGAACGTTGAGAAACATTCTCTGTCATTTTTAAATCAATTAAATAATTTAAATATGTATCGAAACTCTATTAAGCAAAAGAAGAACATGTTCAAACACTTTCTGAATATTGAGTTTGGCATTTATGTCATCAGTTTAAAACATTTCTAAAGCAGAATACATACACATTGGTAAAATTCTCGGAATCTTCCTCTGGTCATGGCTGGGTTATCTCGTCTATATACTTTCGCTATGTGATATCTTTTAATAGCATTAATTTTGTTCATGGCTAGATATCTAGCAAAGGGTACCTGAATTTAAGGTCAAGGCAAAAAACACAAGAGCGGCAAAGTAATAAAGCAGTATGAAAAATGTTCAAATAAGTTTTATCATCTTATTCCTTTTCTTCTAAATAATAACTTTTACTTTGTAACTGATAAAAGAGAAGTATAACCGTATTACAAATCTATAATTTAACACTCTGCCTGTTGCTGTGATTTTTCCGCCCACATTCAATAATTTCCAAGCTAGGATTGACAAACAATTCATCAGCAATTTTAGCAACATTCTGATTAGCAAACTTTAGTGTCAGCAATAAGGCTTTTTAACTGTATAAACCTACATATATAGCTATGCTGACTGCAGTTTTTGAAAAATAATACTATACTTGCAAAATACCTGTATGAAGGCAATATGTTTGTATTTTTACTTTAAGAACAGAAGGCGCATGCACAGCATCATTGCCAAACAGTTGAATCATACTTGTGTAGCAGCATCCTATTTTTTTACCAGAACATTAATTTTAATCTATTTAATAATATGTAAATCTGTCATGCATATGAAAATAACAGTAACATTTTATGTTATAAATCTTCCATGAATCTACCGTTTTGAGCTTTAGAATATGGAAACAACATCATTTTACTGTTTATATATTTCATAAACATAATTCATTAGATAAAGCTTTATGCCCTTTCAATCAGATTCAATCAACTCTTAAATAAGTATATACAAATCATTCATAATAAATATTTCTTGCATATCAGATGGGATTATCTACTGTTTACACTGGTGCTAGAAAAACCTGTCTTACACCCCCCATGTAAGACAAGTTGTGTATTTTAAATGACATCATTCTGACATGCTTTTATGAATGAATTGTGTTCTTAAAATGAGGTCATTGTGCCGTTATGAATGAAGTTGTAAATTCATACACCACTGTAAGGAAAACGTGCTAAATGAAAATATATGTTTTCATAATTTCTTTTTGAAATATTATAATATTAATTTATTATATGCAAGAAAAAGAGTCAAACACCAGCTGTGGTAATAGGCAGGAATATCTAGCTCTGGGGTACCTGTTTAGCAAAAACTCAGCAGAACCTTGTTACCCCCGTTAACAGTTACCCTCAAACTAGATATTTCAGTCTGTATTGGCAGTTGGTGTAAGATCCTTAAAATATTATAACTTTATCTGTTACAATAAATATACAGACATAAAGGATACAGTTAAATCATAACGTAGTGACAATAGTTCTCCCCCTTGGTCCTTTAGATCATAGATTAGTTTGGAATCTTCTCCGTACTTTCCTGTTAATGTTTCCTATAAAAAACAAAATTTAAATGTTGTAATAAATGTATATTACTATGGTTATTCAGGGCTATCATCTATGACAACATATGTGCTAAGTTAAACAACCAATTTGATGAGTTCAAGGGGGATACTTTTATCTACAGACCAAAACTAGAACAGATTTTAACCAATGATATGGATTGCTAATCTGTTTATAATGAAAACATTGAATGTTATATGAAAAAGAAATGTAACATTCAGACATCTGTGGTCATCTTTACAATGATATTAGTTATATAAAGATTTTTGATACAGCATTTGTTGAGTAAAAGCAGTTTTAAACTAATACATACAGCAAACAACATTCTTTACCCTGCCAGCAACCTTTCAAAAGCTTTACAGCACAATTGCAGTATACTGCACCATTGTTTAATATTGTTTAAGTAAAAATTGATTTATAAATTTGCAGCAGCCATGCTTATCTCAATGCTTGATAATAATAGAATGAACATTATAAACTTTGTAAAATTGGCATCTCGGAGTTATGGGACCTGTGTCCATCATGTTAGATGATCAAAGAAAACAAGTGGGTGATTAACAATTAGCTTTAGCTCATTCTCTTAGGTAGTTTTGGAGATACCAAACTGCACCAAAAAACTTAAACAGACATTGACACAGACGGAGGGGTGATTACTTCAAATAGTCAAGCTTAAAGCTATGAATGTCACAATGCTAGTTGTCCAATTATTGAAAGTCAAAGTAAGTTACAAACATTTACATGTAGTAGTATTAACATATCTTTAGAGAAAGAAACCTTAGAAAAAAAAATCTTAGATACACAGAAATTTTCCTACAACTACACAATACATGTACTCTTATATTTTTGATACATGTATGTATCACCTTAGTAAAGTTCCTGTTATTAAAAGATGTAAAATATTGAAACATGTATATAATTTTCACTTCTTTGAAATGTGGCATAGTTTAACAATTCTATATCTCTGAAAACTTCAAACATTTTTATAAAGTTTGAAAAACATGTACGAATACTATTCTCAAAGGCTGCTTGCAAATCAATTCATTTTCTTCAACTTTTTACTGTTACTTGTATTATGGGGACTCTGTGGCCCAGCAGTTAGGGTTGCCTACTTCAAATCACTTGCCCCTAACCACTGTGGATTCAAATCCCATCAGGGACTACAGATTCTTTTGCATGAGGAAGCTATCCAAGTAACTTACGGACAGTAGGTAGTTTTACTCAGGTTGTCAATCATGCCTGAAATAATGTGCCAAGGGGTACCTGAGGTTTCCCTCCACTAATAAAGCTTGAAAGTCACATTATAACCTTTACAGAGTTGGTATGACATCAAATGAGCCCCGTCAGAACAAAACCAACATAATGGGTTTGCGACCAGCATGAATCCAGACCAGCTGATGTAGTAATCCTGATCAGACTGTGCGGATACGCAGGCTGGTCTGGATCCATGCTGGTCGCAAACCCATTATGTTGGTTTTGTCGTGATGCGGCTCAAATTAAACAATGTTTTCAGTTGTTATTTTTAAGAATAGATTACCTTTAATTCAAACACAGGAGTGTCAATGGTTTCAGCTCCGTGGCGTTTAAAACAGCTAATGATGGTTTTAAATACCCCCTCTCGTATAGACATCTGTACAGGGTTGTAGTCTCTAGTACCCTATTATACAAGGAATATGATATGAGCCGTGTCATGACAAAACCAACATAATGCGTTTGCGACCAGCATGGATCCAGACCAGCCTGCGCCTCCGCGCAGCCTGATCAGGATCCATGCTGTTCGCTTACAAACCTTATAACAAGTAGAGAAACTGATAGCGAACAGCATGGATCCTGATCAGACTGCGCGGATGTGCAGGCTGGTCTTGATCCATGTTGGTAGCAAACCCATTATGTTGGTTATGTCGTGACGCGGCTCATTTTAAAAACAAACCTGCATAAGTTTTCAGACACAAATATGATCTGTATTTTACTACTAGGGAAATGTTTTGTTCAGATAATCATTGTTTTTTTAAAGCATTTTACGAACATGCATGTTTTTTACTAAAAGAAAAATTACACCAGTGTGCTATTTTTGAGGATTTTTTTCATTTCTACAGCTTGCATAAAGTTGTATTCAGTGTAGGGAATTGTCCTCATCCTTCATTTCCAGATTTGTTGTATTCACAATTTCCCTATGGTCTTGTGGAAATATAATTTTACAAAATCAACCTCTAACAAAAACAATTTCAATTTTGCTATTTTGTTTTTAATTGCCATACATGTGAACTTTTATCAATGATGAAGTAGGAGATTTTTCTGCAAAAAGAGGGAGATTTTAGAGTTTACAATAAACAAAGAAGAAAGTCCTGACATCAAAAAGAGGAAGATTTCTTTAATTTGTGAAAATACGGCTGCAGAAAGTGGGAGTCTCCGGCTTTAAGTGGGGGAGTTCACATGTATGAAATGCTCCTTCTGGTCAAATATTCTCATTTTTTCAGCATATTAAATGTTTCAAGACTCAGGATGTATTGAAAATTTCACCCTCCATAATTTTTTGCTCCGAATTCAGAGCTCGATCAAATTAATTTGTTGAATATTTTAAGTAATGGTAAAAGAAACTTGATATCTGCAAAGAGATATGAGCCGCGTCATGACAAAACCAACATAATGGGTTTGCGACCAGCATGGATCCAGACCAGCCTGAGCATCCGCTCAGTCTGATCAGGATCCATGCTGTTCGCTATCAGTTTCTCTACTTATTATAGGGTTTGTAAGCGAACAGCATGGATCCTGACCAGACTGCGCGGATGCGCAGGCTGGTCTGGATCCATGCTGGTCGCAAACTCATTATGTTGGTTTTGTCATGATGCGGCTCATATAAATGTGAATTACCTTTGGGCATTTGAGGACAAATTTCTTGGGTGCTTCATCTCCTAACTGAGCTTTCAACTCCAGTAATTTGGCAACTTCCTCCGATATCTGAAAACAAATACATTTAGATAAACATAAATATACAATAACTATCTATAAAGCAACAATATAGATAGAGATAAATTTAAGTACATTTGTATATTGTCTGAAATCAACAAATGTAATAAATTCTCATAATTTTCGATAAAAATCCTCCCTGTTTTTCAAATCCTAGTATAGACACTGTATAGACAGCCTCTGCTAATGCTATGTACCATGCATGTTAAATTGAATTGAAATTTTATTTTTTCCATAAAACATGTGGGTAAATTTCATTCTCAGTTTTTGGACTTTGATTTTAGGTTTTCTACATTTTCTGATTTATCACGCTATATTTTCCCCTATATTTAAGCCACAGGTTGTTTTTAAAATTGTAAAAAATCACATAGACATACAGATATGTCATACAGACATACAAATATGTCATAAAATTAGTCCAGTATGTCACACAAACATACCCATATGTCAATACATCAAACACATTTGTCACACAAAATGAACTTTAACCAATATCCACAATATCTGAATATGTATACAACTGTTTCATCATCTTACGATAAAACACTCTTTTAGTGTGAAAAATCATTCCAGTTTTATAAAGAACTTAATCCAAAGTAAATTCACACTATTAAGCGATTTTCGATCAAGAAGAAAACCAACCTTTTTCCTGACAGCAGATTTGTCATTATCAATACATATTGTGTGATGAATATCACCACTGCCCTCCATTTTAGAAATGGCAGCTATATCTACCACGATATTTGACCCTTCCATCTTGATCCCAACAAATTACCCAATCAGTAAAAAGTACAAAAAGTGTATGTTTAATGATTGTTAAGTGTATCACTTCAACTCCGGTACACATTTGAACATAACATGATGAAATTTGCCACTAATTGTCCACTTATGACAAAATAATGACTCTTAACGTCTGGGAAAGGAACATATGCTCTAAATAAGAAAGTGATACCATTCACAGTGTCAAACTAGGTCAAGACATCCATGTCTTTATACTAGATTATCAGCATATTTCACACTATTACATCATTATCAGTATTACATCAGAATCTTATACACAAACAGTGTTTAAACTACGACATATTCAAAAATCAAGACACGCTAAATTTCCACAGAGTAATCTTTGACAATGAATGCTGGCACTTTCAAAGAGCAGAAAATTTAGACTCCATTTCATTATAAAATAACAATGTTACAGACTGTATATGGAAGTATTTGACCAACCAGTTAAAGGTAAATAGTAAAAGTTAATTTAATCTTTTTATAACCTATCTGCAAGTGTTTAAGTTTAACCCTGAACTATCTGAATTTCTTAAATGGACTTATCCAGTTTCTATTTTTGGAATGATCTATTATAAAGTGTGGAAATATCAGGGTAAAATGTCAGCCAGTAGTACAGGGTCTGGTCAGACAGCTTGGATGTCTGGCTGGCCTAGCTCCTTACTGGAGGCAAAGGATTATCACTATAATGGTCCTAGCAGGGTAAGGGACTAAGGGTTAAGAAATTATATGCTATTATTAAGACTACATTTTTTAACTGTATCAAACTTGTAAGCAACTTATTGTTATTATAAACAATCAACTGATGTTAATGTAAATAAGATGTTGTAATATACAAAAAAGAAGAATGGTGTTAACTTGTATTCAGTATTGGTCAAGAACACCCACTTATGTTAAGCTAGACTCCCACCAGGGTGAATTCTCTTTAAACTTTTAACAATATGCATGTTTCAGTGTGTAAATTTTGAAGAAACACTGTACATAATATTGTATGTTTATTTAAAATTAATTAATACAATGAAGTACAATTATAAATTAATAGCTAATAATAAATACATGTTAATCTTATTGGCAGGGACTAATCACAGCACTTTTAACACATTTTTTTAAAATTAACAAAAATATAAAAGCAATATTTTAGGAAAATATCATTCTACAGAAAAATAACATGCTAACAAGACTAAAAACATTTAAATCTTACAAGCACTTGCCATACAATGTACATCAAAATTTTTATCATTCTGCATTCCTTATTGACCATTTTAAATTTTAACTCAGATTTTCAAATATATCTTTTAAAAGACAAAAAAATATAAAAATTTCACATACCTGTGAGTCACAGAATGCACGAGTCCAGGTATGTGTAACAAGCCATTGAATGTGTAGGAAACGTTGATGAAAACGACACAAAGGCAACATCATAATATAGACAGTTGAAGGTACAGGGTAGATATGCAAATGAAGAATAAATCCAATCAGCAAATCTGGTGAAAATAACAAAAACGATACAGCTGTCTAACATAGACAGCTATTCTTTCTGGCTGTCTTTATAGATACAGCTTAGAAAATGCTTTAAATAGTAACAATAAAGATTTGAAAAACATTGTTAGCAAAATTATAATGTTTGACTACAAGTTCAAGACGTGTGAATTCATCGAGGCCTGATATCATTGATATTTCAGTGGCAGTAGCAATCAACTGATATATAAAACTCTTTTAACATCATATTCCAGACTAAGCAACAATGGATTTTGGAGTCTTCCCAAAATTGAAATATTAGTTGAAAGGTAAATGAATCGAAGAAATTGATGGGAAAAAAATGGAAGTGTGCAGTTTCTCTAGAACATGACGACAGCTGGTGGTACGACAGAAAATGCATTGCTAGTGAGAGTAGATCAGGAACATGTGACTATTTAAGTATTTGTAGGTATAACATCATCACTTCCTTATCTATTGTGTGTGATCTATGAAACATATATTTTGTATCTGTCAATAACTGGCTTTAATATAATATATAATATATCATTAAATGTCAGTCAGTATGTAATATGAATTCTGGGTAACTGAAATGTGCTTACATTTTCAGTGTAACACATTTATGAATATTCCTCTTAACTTTGTACTAAAACTTAATGGATGACCAGGGCTCTCAGTAGGGTCAGAATTTCACGAGTCAAAGACTCTGTGGCCAAAATTTTCACGAGTCACATTATGTTTTTCTAGTGTCATTTGACTACATTAATCATTTTTATGTTACAAAAATGACTGTATTGGAGGTCATTTTTGATGATTCCAAGGTCTAAATTGACAGAAAAAAATGCCTAATTATAAATGTCTATACCCCCCTCCCACCCCCCTTAAAAAAAACAAAACAAATAAAACAAAAAAAATGAATTGCTGTGAAAGAATAAAATAAGCAGCAGCTTTTCTGATTAAAATAAATGTATAAAATATAAAAAATTTTTATCTTTACTGGTATGCTATATCATATTAATTTTAAATACCAAAATGTACCAGGAATATTTAATGGAAAAAGAAATAACAAATGCACAGGTACTCCAAGTAAATCAAAGACGTATTATAAACCTTTAAAAGCAATCAATAATTGACACCTCAAGTATGTAATTCTTATCAGTTGTGTAGAGCTATTTTTAGCGCTGTCAAATTGCAGCCACTGAATTGTCGCGCTTCAGTGCACAGGCTATAAACAATTGCCGTGTGTAAAGCATTTTATACACAGCTTATACTGCCTGTTGACATTTTTAATGAGTGTGATTTGAACATATGTAGGATTTGATAGGTAATTAGGGGTGGATTTAAGGTAATTATTATTGCATAGCTGAAAATCCCATGTGGCAAATTGACTCTTGAGCAGATTTTATCACGTGTCAAATTTGTACATTTCCCAATTTTCACGAGTCAAAACCCGGATCCCCGTGTCAATCGAGAGCCCTGGATGACTTTTGAATAAGAATGTTTTGTACACAAAAGGCAACATGAGGGTGGAAGTTAATGTGCAGAAGTGTGTAGTAAAACTTTGTTAAACTATGCAGGTCCGTATTGCTAGCCAAAAGTTTTAGCCATATGTGACTGAGTCATATGACTAGCCTATAGGCACTGTTGAGGCATTTTAAAATAATAACCTTAAACAATAATGAATATGCAAACGTGTGTTTCTCAAAAAATATTTTATTGAAAATCATGAAATCTTTATTAATTACAATATTTTTTTAGCGTTTGTTGATTAATTATAAAGGTCCATGTAAAAATACCAATAGAATTAAACTGAAACATTATTAAAATAATTTTATGGACAATATAAATGTATTACATAAATTTGTAATAAATATTTAATTTTTTAGCTGGCATTGAGAATTTCAAGCTGGTTGTTAAAAGATGCAGCTCACCAGTTTTTAACGAATGCACAAGAATGCTATTGCATCAATCACAGTCTTTAATAATAAATTGACATTAAAGTCCATGGGTCATTTCCAGCGGTAGTTAGATTGTGACTAAGTATTTTTCATAAGTATAACTTGTAATTTAACACCTCACAAAACTTTTTAATTGAAGGTGAATTTATCTCTAAAGTAATAGATAAATCTGAAAGTTCTGATATATCCTGTCATTATTATTATAAATGGCAGGAGATCATAAGTCAAATCATTTAGAAAAAACAACATATATTCATTCTTTGTGAAAATGTAAATAGACCGCAAGTTACTGACTGCATCATTGCATTTAACTTTTTTATTGAAAAAATTCTGAATAACTAGCCTCAACAGTGCGTAAAGGTTATATGTATGTCACTCAAAAACAGCGACTCACACAGGCTTTTTTCCCTTCTATAACGGGGGCTGACATAAGGCCCCTTCACAATTCAAAATTGTACTTTTTTCACAAAGTGCCAGAAAAAATGTTTTTGTATAAATCTAAAACTGTCATCATAATTAAGCTTAAATATAATTATTAAAACTTGACATATGCAAGATGTCTCAGCCTCTGGTGAATGAGATTTTGTCAGGTTTGCATAATAATCTACCTTTTCTTGTGCAGCCTTTTCTGCTTTTAGTTTTCTCACAACTTCACCTTGTTTCTTTATTTCTTCTTGAATTGCAGCACGATCTGCCATTATTTATATATGTTTCAACTTTGTAAACAAAAAAGATGTCAGTCACTCAGTGCCGAGTTCTAGCGAAGTCGCCGGTAAACACTGGTAAAAAATAAACCAACTGTTAAAGTAAATTTTAGAATAGATGTGGTCAAAACACTTAATTGCGTACTGAAATCAAACAAGGTGTCAAAGTTTACACAAATTCACATTAATACTGTTAATATTTTCTTAAATATTCACAGTTTCATCACATTTCACTAGGTTGTAAGAGTGATTTCCCCTAGTACAGTGAGTAAAATCCGTTCAGTACGTTCTGTATCCGGAACGTACAACATTAAAACATAATCTGTAGTAAATGGGCTTAATTCTTAATTTCCCAATACTTGAAGAGATATGTACTGTTTTTGACTATAACGCAAACAATATCCAAGTCATTTTTTACATTTAAGCCATAGCCTACTGCAGTAATCATTTTTCAATTTCTTGTGACACCTTTTAAATTGTTCACTTTAAATAAATAAATAAATAAATAAATAAATAAATAAATAAATAAATAAATAAATAAATAAATAAATAAATAAATAAATAAATAAATAAATAAATAAATAAATAAATAAATAAATAAATAAATAAATAAATAAATAGACACGTGTATTGAATGAAAGATTTCAACGGGTCAGAAATTTCGCGGTATGATTAAAATACGCAACGGAAATTTCGACTTCTAGAAAAAAAAGTCTCATACGCTAGCTCTCTTGCATACACATGATGCATGTATATAATATATTAATCATTTAATTAACACTTAGAGTAACTTTTAATTTTCATGATGTCATGCAGTTTCTTAATTATGTCTTTATTCAGATATTGGATATGATAAGATTTTGTTAAAACCAGTGACGTGTGCTGACAAATAGAAATATATGAGATAATGAGATAAAATAAATGAGATTTCAGTTATTGCAACTTACTGAAACGTGTACATGTGCACACTTTCTGTTTAACTTTAATGTCTTTCCCCCTAAAAGATTCAAATACATTGTACAACCGTACGCGTTATGTAAGAGGATTATTATTTTACTAGGTGAATTTCTTTATTTTTATATGTAATTGCACTTTGAAATATAGCTCTTGAATCGCGTTTAACATTCGGACAGTTCATCATCAAATAACCAAACACTGTTTATATTTATGAACATCTCAATTACTATATGATTTCCCTTACTGTGTTTTCAGATTTCGTCTTTTGTGAATGGTTTTTGGCAAGGCGGGACTGGAAATATTTCTCCGAAATGTGTGTAACATTTTATGTAAGTTTGTTTGAAGCAATAACTTCAGAGAAAAAATTTAGATCAGTTGTTTAACAAATAATTTTTTTATCGTGTTAAATGATTCAAAAATTGAAACCTACTAAACACTTTGCTGAAAAACGTAAAAAAAAGATTTTCAATATAATGTTAAGTATATCTCTTAATTATCTTTTGCATGTTTGTTTTTTTAAATTTTCATTTTAAGTGTTCCAGTTGGCCTTTGTAAGAGTTATTCTGTTTAAGTTTATAGGCTTTTGGACATCAGTTGAGCTCCTTTAAAGTGACAGGGTCTATATATAGTGGAAGGCATAAAGACGATCACAATATCAGACATAACGACAAACCACGAAAGAATTATATATAACCATCATGTTGTTGGCAAGCGAGAGATACATTATCCGATATTACATATTTTTATATATAGGACCTATAGCAGATAATAAAATGTTTCTGAACAAAATTTTATTATCCATCATATGAATGTTCATACTAATCACTTTATAAATTTTGTTCAAGCAAAAATTGATAACAATAACCAAATGATTTCTAGTGTTTTATCAATGTTGAAAATACTTATGGAAAATATGCTGATTGTGGATCAATCCACTTTAACCAAACGTACATTTCTCTCAGAGACATAATTATACGGAGACCTGTGATGAACAATGATTCATAATATAAAAATCCGGAAACAAAGTGATCCCTCTGAAGCATTAATCACAACAAAATTACAAGAGAATTGCAGACCTGGTTTTATTGAGTCTGTACATGAGGGATAATGAATACATGCAACATTCCTCACGCCCCCTAGCACAGGCTTGAGCGGTACTCAATTCTCAACACTTTATAGTTCTGGCATCAATGATCCCGAAGGACCAGAAAAATATAACAACACTGAAGTAAGTACGGGGCAACCTTTTACAGCTGCCACACAGCACTTGACACCTGCTGTTGTGAAGTATAAAAATCCGGAAATAAAGTGATCCCTCTGAAGCATTAATCACAACAAAATTACAAGAGAATTGCAGACCCGGTTTTTTTGAGTCTGTACATGAGAGATAATGAATATGTGCAACATCTCTCACGCCCGTAGCACAGGCTTGAGCGGTACTCAATTCTCAACACTTAATAGTGCTAAAATCAATAATTCCGAAGGACCAGAAAAATATAAGAACATTGAAGTGAAGTAGGGAATAAAGTTTGTGATAATAACATTATTGTCATTTGAACAAGTTACACCACTTAAATAACCTGTTCTTGTATATTTGATATGATTGTCATGTTTTCACGTGTATACTTTTAGGCACCATACAACTTTGTCAATAATAATATGTGCATGGTCACCGCATTATTCGTCCTTAAATCAATGCATTTTAACTGTTTAATTTTTTAGTAACGTCGGTTGAGAAAGATTTTATGCGTTTACAACACAATGAAGGAAAAACCAACTACTAATCTGTTGAGACCATTGCACTTACCCAACCGGTATTTTTTGACATAGATTCGACCTTCAAGTATTTCACGAAATAGTATTTTATGAATAAAACAGAAAGTGAACAGTCTTCCATCAAAGGAAATGTTACAGTATCCCATGAAGAAATGAAACGTTCGCCTAGTCAATCAGATATGTCAATGTTTGTCTACGTTTTTTTTAAACAATACTGTTTTATTTTAATTCTACCACATAAAATTATTATATCAATATGAATATTACCATAATATTCTAAAACCTGTGTATTTAATAGAGAAAACAAAATGGTTTCAGAAAGATTTTAGACATGTTTATTTATGAAGTAATAAATATTGGTTTTATCATGGTCCATCTACCCCAGCCAGCCTTAGCCAATGCATATAAAACATACACAGAGTTGATCTAACGATACCCAATCTGAACTGTTGGAAATTCTGTGTAGCTGACATGTGTCTCTCTAAGACATGTATACACCTTGTGAAGGAAGAAAGATGTTCTTGTTCACTTTGAGGTTTTAAAGTACTCCGACTATTGTCACAAATTCTCTGAGCAACCAATACTGTTTTAATTAAATAGCAATATAATATTGGCAATAAATAATTAACGCACCTGCTCGGTTCACAAATTTAATGGCAGGAAGCGTTCAGCTATATTGAAATTAATATCCAGACGTGCCATTTAGGACGGAACAGGAAATCGCATAAAATGTTTTATATAGAAATAAAACCAAGCTAAACTGAGTTTATGTCATTTTACTGATATTTCTCAAATAATATCATTTTAAAGACATTCCGGAGACTCCAAATCCCTTTGCGTGTAAAAAAATATCATCTATTTTTATTTGATTAAAGTTTTCTTTTTTTGTCGTCATATGCCAGACGTATTGTGCAGAAAATAGCATTTGCAATATGCAAGACAATCAATTATTATGCAAATGTAATATTTTAAAAGAAAATATCTACTAAGAAATGGTCTTGAGAAACACTATACTTTTCAAAAGCAACCGGTAAATATATGTATTAATTTAAAAATTGAAAATGAATCAAAGTGAAGTGACATTAGTCAATAAATATCTTCTAAAGAATATTAACCACCGGTCATAATATTATGAACTCCCTCCGGTCAAAGTATTATGTCATCCCCATACAAAAATGACCCTTGCGAAGAATGGTGACCCCTTTAAATGATACCTCTTGACTTCCTGTAAAATTTACAGAGAAGAACTGAATATAAGTAGAATTTTCATTGGTCATTTTAAAATCACAATCTGAAATCAGGGAATCTCATTGGTCACTTTGAAATTATCAAAATAATATAAAGGATCTTTACACACCTAGATTTTAGTTAATTTCGGATACAAACTATATAGTTAAATTTCTCGAATATCTGAAATCTGTGAATCGTGCTGGCTTCCTCCAATTAAACGTTTTACAACATTTTCCACAGCTTTAAAAATATTATTTCTCGAGTAAAAGCCTTATTCAAGAAATTTTTACTTAAGAATTTACTTACTTTAATTGGCATTTTATAAGTTTTGGCTAAAATAACGAGAAACGGAAACGCATGTATATGAAATACCCATAGGCACCAAAATTAAAAAAACAAAACAAAAAAAAACAAAACAAAAAAAAACAAAACAAAAAAAAAAACAACAAAAAAACAACGCAGAACATTTCTGTTGATGAGATTAAATGATTTTAGATGTTTTCCATTGATATAATACTGTGTATATTAATGTGTACCTTAAAAGTCAGTGTAAGATACATTATATAAACATGACAGTTCCAGTTAGAAACATTAAATGCTATGACGAAACTCCAAAATAACCTATGCTTTGAAGCACTTTACACTCAGTATTTTAACAGAAAAGGGTCCTTTTTAACTATAGAATAATGACCGGGGAGTTACTTATCTTTAATAAAAATGACCATCGGTGATTATATATCTATGGAAGCATAAACCTGCCCTTTTTACTTGTGTCTTATGACTTTTGACTTGTGACTTGTGACTTATGACTTTTGACTTGTGACTTTTGACTTGTCTGTTGAACATGATAATTCGGCGCGATTTTGAATGAAATATGGCAGACAACGAGTTTTTACATAGATTATTTTTGTTCATTGAATTGTGTCAGTTAATCTTAATATAATCTACGTTTTAAGTACTTTTCTCGATTTGTTATAGATTGCGTTTGTTTAATTTAAATGTTGTAACAATGCGTCTGATCATCTTTCCTATAAAGTACCTATGAGAGTGTAACCTTTAGTTAACTATTGCTAAACAGATTC